CTTTTGTCAGTCCATTGATCAAAAATATTTCGTTTTAGCTGAGCTCATCAGTCGATGCTTCGATGCCTTAAGACCTATTTCGGAGATGTGTATCTCTATATCAAGTGGACCAAGGATCACACAGACTCCTAAAGTAGGGCCTTTCTTTTCATAGAGATGAATCTGCAACAAAACATATTGAAGCATTGTCATCCATACTCGAGCTGCTTGTGAAATTCCCCACTTCCGGTTGATAAAATACCTGAAATCACTTGCTCCCACACCACAGCTGCGGGAATGAGCTGCACATTCCAACTGCATTCTCTAATTTGATGAATGTTCTGCATTCGATTATACATGGGTCAAACACCACACATACCTTTTGTTAATTAGTTGAATCATCCAGTGCCACATTAGGATCTGACAACATAAATACACAGTCTTAGCATTTAATAATGAGACAGGCGAACTGTACCATGTGTTAACCACATTTAATGTGAATTTAACAGTATTTGGGCACACGACATGCTGCGTTTTGCATGTCCTTTATATAGCTTCAAATTTTCTTTGAGCCAAATTAAAAAAAAAACCTCATCTCGAAAATAATAATGAGACAGGCGAACTGTACCATGTGTTAACCACATTTAATGTGAATTTAACAGTATTTGGGCACACGACATGCTGCGTTTTGCATGTCCTTTATATAGCTTCAAATTTTCTTTGAGCCAAATTAAAAAAAAAACCATCATCTCGAAACACGTTGATACGATATATATCTGTTTTTAAGAAAAAGAATAAACGTTTCTGAGCATTGTTTGGAAATGATTATTCAGCAGTTTTTTGTCTCATTTTTATTTTTTGAACACATTACACATAAACATATATGAAATACCGCATTATATTATTCATACAAAAAAAAAGGAAAATAACGTGTTTAGCGGCGGCTACAATATGCTTTAATGTAAAATGGGCATGATGATTGAAGTTCTCTGCCTTGTACATTGAATTTCTGGGAACAAGAGCAATTTCCAGTGAATGTCAAACTGTTTGCTGCAAAAACATAATCTTCAATGGAAATCATACAGTATGGTAGGGGCATCATTTGTTGCAACTTATGAGCATTCTTTGGATATTATATACCTCAGATTGCAACAAACTTCGATTCAGGATGGAAGAATTGTTCACTTGGTGTTGGAAGTCATGGATGCTGTTTCCTAGGCACCTATCTTTAGCACTGCTGTCCCCTGTGGTATTCTTTTTAATGGCAAATACGCCTACCAAATGTCTTCTGAGTCTCCCGAGGAGAGAGTAAAGCATTCTGTAGACAAATAGATGGAAACATTCAAATGCACGCCATGGCAGGGCAGGCTCGTGTTAGACACCTTTTGTTTCAGACAGCTGCTTCTTGCACTACTGGAGCACATATGGGAGCGACACACAGTTTGTGGAGAATTGAGTGTACACAAAATTGCTGACAACTGTCTGTTTCCGTGTGTGTTTGGGTGTAGATACATTTCCATATTGCCTTGTTCACAACGTGAGGTTTCTTACCTCTCTTTAGAAATGAAATAAAGTATCAATGATGGACGTACAGCGCATTGTGTTACCTGTGTGGTTGTAAAAGCATTTAAATGCGGCAGTCGATTAGATCTTTAAGTACAAGCATGTGATGAATTATGCTTTTAGGGGGACTTCTTATCTCTAACTTTTGCTCATGTGCAACTTGATTCATTTTAGTCGTGTATGTATTCTATTTCGGATTATGTTGTGTTTTATTTGTTTTATCTGAATGTACATGTCGAGCACTGGACTGAAGTGGCGTGATATGAATTGGGGAAACAAACAAACAAAACACTTTTTAAAATATTTAATGATGTATGAGACGGGTAAATTACAGTATCAAACTATAGTAACGTCTCCGAACTTTATTTTCCTTGCATAGGGGAACGATTTGATTTCATACTGTGTCTTATGTGATTGTACAGGTATACTTAATGTTGTGGCCACTGGGCAGTGAGTGCATTTCACAAAAGAGTTTGCCAATCCCTACATTTAAAAGACATTTAAAGTCCAGAAGTATTTGGAAAATGATATTTTTTAAGCATTTTGCCTCCATACCACCAAGCTGGATTGATAATAAAAGCATCTTAATGATGTCAATGATATGGAAACTTGCATCTGTAATTCAAGAGGTTTCTTCATAATCATAAGTCATTTGCCAATGAGGAGTTACAACCATTTGCTGTTTAGGGACTCCATCTTAGTGACGATGGTTTACAATCACATCTTTTTCTTCACCTCCTTTCGGGTTGTGTAGAAATGTCAAAAACTGCTATGATAGATATTTACAACCTCCAACTGTTTTTGCCGGTGCTGCATTGTTTTTTTTCACCTGTCAGAACAATATTTTCAGATCCAGTAATGAACACATCCTTACCTTATGTACCGTATGCACGGATGCAGTGTAGTTGTGTGAGCCTCGACCTGACTTTATGGAGAAGGGAGCAGCGCTCAGCACGATGCAAACAGCAGCAGACATATGGGAGAGTGTAATGTCACATGGGAGTTATGGCTATATGAGCAATATATGGTTGCCACGTACATTGAAGGTTTACCATGAATTTTCATCTGCCTTCCGCCCTCTTTCCCTCCCCATCCTTCCATGTGAGAAATGGCCTGATTCATGCACACTTCCTTGGGCTGTTAGTCTGTCTCCAGTAAATGGCCTTTTAGAATGCCACAGGTGTCCACTTTTGCTTTAAATCAAGTCAGTATTCATGACGACTATTTTGGCAGTAAATAAGTTTTCTCCTTTGGGGGAATCATCGCTCATCATATATCCAAAAGCAACAGAATGAAAACAGATTTTCCGCAGCTGCACACACAATTGCAGGCATACTAGAATTGCAAAATGGTCCTTCTCGGAGTCTACTTATATCGCAATCGGACAGAATCATAGTTTCGCCTTCGCTGCATACAAATATTGTGGTCCAACATTCACTTTGGGCATCCAGTTTCGAACAGAGTATATTTCCAGTTCTCATTTGTGACACATGTAGAATTTGATATTCACAACTCTGTCCCGGTCAGCTCCAGGCCACCTGTTATGTTGCTGATGGATGCCAGTGAAAGCGCCAGGCTCCTTGCTGAAATGTACAATAAATGACTCTTATTCGCATTCTAAATGGTTGCAAGTGTTTGAATTCATCAGGGTGCCTTAGCGTCACCCGCTGTGAGCCCAAGAGCACAAAGCACACCAGCACCAAAGCTACACAATAGTTTTCCATCCCACTCATAAGCTGCGCAAAAACACTTGTTTCCGTTTTTCAAAACTAATTCATCTGTCCCTTATATGAAACTCAAAATTCAGTTTTGTTGTTTTTGTTTTTTGGTGCGGAATAATTACAAGGACAGTGGGAAGAAACAAACAGAAAAGTACAAGACATTCAGACGACTTTCCTCTCCAGTCTTTCATCATCGCTTACTATCAGGTAATTAGTTTATCACAATGCCAAGAAAACGTTTCCAGACAACAACCTCAGTTCCCTTGAAATGTTGGATTTGTTTCAAAAACGGAAGGTGTTTGTTTCTGACAAAGGGGAAAAAAGAAATATTCCCCCGAGCGCCAGCTGCAGAGTTCTGAGCAACCTATCAACTACTTAAACCACCTTTAGCTATCTCACATTTGATATTCTTTCTGAATCATAGATTGCTTGGATTGACAAATACCTGAAATGTTTTACTGTACATTGAAAACCAGGAACGATACAGGGCTCTACTTTATTTTTGCAGACGTGGAAATGTTGGCTGATCCTAATTTTTATGCAGGCGCAAACCTCACTGCGCCTGTTTGGAAATTTGTCAGACTGCTTTTCATTTTTCCCGGCAAGGTATATCATGGGTGTGTCCTTTGACATCTGCCTGGCGCATGGGACAAATTGGTGGTTGAAAGTCAGTTTAAATTTATGGCTCCTCAGACCGCGTCTAACTTTTGACAGGCAAGTGGAAAATGTCAGTAAATCGGTGAGTATTAAAAGCACAAAAGCTACTCCAAAGCTATAATTCTGCCAACTGTATTTTTTCTCCTATTTTCACATGGATGCAGTGTTCTTAGACCCCTTGCTAATCTGCCACAATTTATTGCAACAGAATAATTACAGAATATGTTTACAATTGATCTATATGCAAATTGCAAAAGAAGCTGTCTTCAATAAAGAATACTGGATTCTTTCAAAATCTATCAAAGTCATTACTTTCACACCATAGCAAGCAAACTGAGTGGCCAAGAAGTCATTATCATACCACCCACAGGAAAATATGTTAATTTTCCTGAACGGCCGGTGTAATTCTGGGCTGGTCCTGGGCATCATGGCCAGCCTTCAATGATTCACTGTTAACTAGCGATTTTGTGCATGAGATAGAGGTAGACTATGAGATAGAATGCAAAAGCAAAGCAATGGCAGAAAATGATCAAGTAAAGTAAGCTCAACATTTTTTTTTCCTTTTACTTCAACTTGTTACTGCTGATTTATGAGTGTGTTGGGTAAGGTTCTGTATATGTGTACATTTTATTTTTACACATCTGCCTGTGGTGGTATGACAAACAATGACTTCTCGGTTACAATGGCGTTTACAAGAATTTGTACGTCCACTGAGCTGTTGCCACGCTGGCCTCCCCATTGAAAAATTTCTGGTTATGCTCGGCCTTCGACTTGAAGCATTTTCAACATAAGGATGTGCGCTTGAGCTGACCAGATCTGAATACTGCTTCAACGTGTGTTCAATGTGTGTGGATTTTAGTTGAGTTTAGTTAATCAAAAATAACATTCATGAAAATGAAAGAAAATTCCTGGGAATGGGAAAATTTGTAAATGAAGCATGTCATTGTTTAAATATGGGGAAAATATTGGTGGCTATACTGCAGTATGTCCTTTTGGGGCACTGATCAACAAAGTGATTGTTGGAATCCATTATGTCTTTTCCACTGTGTGGCCCCTCCCACTGTTCTGTTTTCCTTGAATGCAGTGTGGGCGGGGCGTCTCCCCAATCATTGCACCTGCCAATGTTCACCTTGTCAGCCACACTCTCCTCTGCAACATACAGGCCAGTCTGAAGATCTGACAAACTGTTGCCAGTTTGTCAGCTACTTTCACTGCCATCCCCTCTCCTGCCCAACTCTCCAGTGCACCTCAGTTTGGTTTTTCTGACTGCCTTTGGTTCCTGCCTCCTTGACCTGGCCCTCTGCCCTGACAACAAACCAGTACTGAGTTCACTGTGTCTGCCTGCAGGTCCTGTGCTTGTCTTAAGGTAAGCTTAACACCAATCCCCTCCAAGGTACTGCTTTTATTGGAAGTCTGTTGGAGTCCAATACCTTTTGAGTTATGTTCGTGTACATTATACCTACACTTGAAATATCTCCCTTCTTAAAAAAAAATATTCAAGCTGCTTTTGAGAATCGGAAGCTCCGATACAGCATGGGGGCACGTGTTGTGGGGAAGCAACAACACGGGTTCACAAACACAGGTATCCAATATGTGTGCTTTAAGAGCAAGCAGGCCTGAACTGGCACACACATACGGAACTGTTTGTTGAGAAACCTGCTTGTTGGTTCTGCTGCCTTTGACTTCTCCAACATTCTGTCAGAGCAGACAAAGAGATTTGCACCAGACATGGTGTGTTTTTTTTCCCCATCTTTGGAAGAAAATGTGTTTGATGAAAGTATTACCCCAACAGCTGAGCAAGCTGTGCACTGCAATACCCACAAACGACTTGACTAGTTTTTCCCAACATATACACCGAGCCTAAGTGATAAAATGCTATTACCGAAGGCAGAAAAAAAAAGTTTGCACTCATTCTCTTCCATTTCAGTGCAAAGCTGACGAGTCTTAAATCATGTTTTGTTGTTTTTCTGCTACCCCTGGAAGAGGTATTGATTTTTAAGATGGTCTCCTACACCACGCCAGCAACATCAAGTGAAGAAGAAACTGTTTTTCAAATCATAAAAAGAACATACTTTTTTTTTTTTGACTGATGAATGCTATCACCACTTGCGCGTCAGTGAATTTCTCACCTTGTGTGGAGTGAATGGGACGTAACATTGGACCGCTTGATGCATTATTGCATAATTTGCCCCAGTAACCAATGCAGCCGGTTGCACGTATTCTCCACCTGCCGCTGTGCAGAGATGTCATTTACTCACCTGACCTCATAATACCACTAAGCTGTGTCAAGGTTCAGCAGTACTTGGTGACAGCGATGGACTGAGCTGTTAATCTCCCTAAACTGATCTCCTCAGACACACTCACTCTGTCACCGATACCCCGAAGCAGCAGCCATCTCTTTCCCTCGAGAGCAGTGACAGGTGAAAGAACTGGATAGGTCTTATATCTTGGCATCGCCCCAGATCAGTCGGCACGAGGATGGGTGACTGCAACTGAGTTCTGTCAAGGTCACTTTTACAATTGCTCACAATGAACACTGTCATCATTGTTCTGGAACAAAAAGTCAGGCTTCATCAACAGGCATTGAGTGTTGAGGAATTGCTGGAGGTTATAGGAAATGTTGACTCACTTTAACATGCATGCTTTCTTTTGTTGGAATCTGCAATGGTTTGATAATTTGGTGCTGATCTAATTAAGATTATTCCCTCTTTTGACTTCAGTGTTAAGGCATGTCTGTCTTAATGTGTTGGAGCTGTGCATTTTACTGTTCATCTTTGGACAGGTACACACACAAGGATTTCTTAAAAAAAAATAGTTTTCACCTGTGATGGACCCCTCACATAAAGGTGTTTAACAGTGGCAGTCATTTTGTGTGTGTGTGTGTGTGTGTGTGTGTGTGTGTGTGTGTGTGTGTGTGTGTGTGTGTGTGTGTGTGTGGTTTCCTCAGATAATCTCAAAACAGAACACCACACACAGATTCTTTTCCACCCCCGAATGTTCTCAGACGCAGAAATATATCACGTGATCACACATGAGCACTCAAAAACAGAGAGAAGCTCCAGGATGAACGGCCGAGTTACTCGAGTGTTTCTGAAATGGACCAGAGGCGGCGCATTGTAAAATTGTAATGTCAGCATGAAAAGACTTGCTTTGGAAAATACCCTTTGGGGTCTGGGGAACCCCTTTTAAAAACAAAACAAAACAAAAGCCTTAGGACATGTGGAGTTTGAGTTAGTTTTTCGACCTTGACTTTTTTTTTTTTTTTTTTTTTTACCCTTTTCCACTCTTAACGCAATTCAGATACAAGCACTGTCTTACAGGGCAATCTTATAAGACATAGGATTGTCAGGTGCTTAACTTCCTTGGCAAGGAAGGTGCAAAATTGGGACAAAAACAGCCCATGTTTTTGTATGTGTACCCGCCGGCATTAGTGTCAGATATGTCTTGTCCTTCCAGTGGGATGGTGGCACATATGACAAGAAATAACCAACAAGAAATCTGAGGTCTTGTAAGTCTGCTCACAACTAAGTGCCATTCAAGTTTTAGATAGCTTCAGCAGCCACAACAACAACATCTACAAAACAGCCTTCCATTATGCTGCTGCGCAGACAACTTTTCGCCCACGATTAATTGTGTCAGCACTTACCTGTATTTTTAGTGAACTTTTTTTTTTTTCACTTTCACAGATATTGATACACATCTGTTACTACCTCTGTAGCTGGCTAATTGCCATAACACAATGTTTCACTTCTGGGTTTGTCCAGTTTGCAAAACATTTCCCGTCCTGTAACATCTGTAGAAAACATGTTCTCAATTTTATAAAGCTGCTTGCTTCACACAGACAAAAAATGTCTTCTTTTTTTTTCTGATGGATGATGCATTCATTCCCTTTAGTTTTCAAATGTTTTATTTTGGCACTGTGCTCTTGCTGTGCCACAGCGAGGCATGTCTGCGACTTTAAGTGAGAAAAGCTTTTCAAACAGCACTAAAGCTAACCGTAAATTCTACGAACCGAATCAAGTAATCCATCAATTCCTCTGTCTTGATAGTATAGAGAAAGTGATGCTAATGGAGAAAAGAAACCCTGTAATTTGAAAAAAAGAAAGCTAATTTAGCTTTCATACACAAAGTGCTTTTTAGATAATCCCTAATTATTAGCAAATCTCACTTTTTGGCATTTGCTTGTAGAGAGACAGGCAAGATGTGTTTAATCTCCTTCACGATGATGATTTACGTCGCTCATTTGTAAGGGTAGCTGTTTGTGTTCCCCTGTAAATATTTGTTGTCGAGATTCTGTCGTTTATATCCTGACTGCTTCGAGTGAGCGAGTGAAATTCAACTCAGGGGCAGGGTCACCGGCACCCAATCATTCTGTCGTCTGTTGTTGCGTCGCTGCATGTGTGTGGTCTCATATCAAATTGACAAATGTACTCCAAATGTAACATTTCTATGACGCCAATTAAGACATTCTGATGATGATGGCAACCAAATAAGAGCTTAATAGAGTGGAGTCGCAAAATGTTTCAGGTCATTAGTGAAATACTTCAGTTTTGCTGCTAGACAACTTTGTGCGTCACCTTCACTAGTGACCTCCGTCGATATATTGAGCAGCCTTTTGAGGAGAGAGAGTGAGAACGCCTCTTCAAGGGAAATTAATATTCACAGAGGATGCCGTCCTCAGCAGCCCTAATCAGAATGGGATCTCACTTCCTTTCATTAATCAAGACGAGTATGTCCTGGTATCACAGTTGTTTACCTTCAGTTTGTTGTTTTTACAGCCTGTTGACTTGAGGCAGACAACCTAAATCGTGTAACACATGACTTCACGGTGCAGTGGTTTCACAGAGATTTAGCACATATTTGTATTTGGTGCATATATTTCTTTTTAATATGACCGCGTGATGGAACAACTGTCATAATAACAGTAATTTAAATAGCACGGCAGTCCCAAGGATAGGAGCCTTAATTTTTGGTGACGAGTTAAGTAGCAAGCACAATTACATGTATAAAAAAAATGGCAACAAGTCATCTTCCAGCCACTAAATTAGACTTGTTCATACTAAAACTGTGAATACTAATGTGACGGGCTTGAACGTTTTGGTGATAATGTCTTTGTAGCACAGTTGGCACACAGCCATGCACTTCTGCGTCACTCAATGCAGCTTGTGAATCACCGCAATGTGTTTATTTTATTTTTGCTAAATAACAAATTGCTGTTCATCAGAATCAAATCAACCGATTAACATCCAGTATGTCTACTTTTTGTGCTGAGTGATCTATCAATAATGTCATTAAGAGTGCCACTGTGTGGGTGGGGATGGGGGCATTGTCACACACAGATGCACGATCGGGGTCGAATGTCCACGTTAACACTTGACACTGGCCAACTTTGTCATACACAAGTGGAGAGCTTCTGGCAATTCTTTATAAACGTTCTTTTGTCCCCGCACGGACTCCAGTCTGTTTTTCCTCCGCCATGTTGACTGCGCGCCTCACCAGCGCAGAGTCTAAAGTGAATGAGAGGAGCCGCTTCGATTGGCTGGGAATCAAGTCACCTCTGTTCACTCACGCACTGTGCACACAGACTGTGCCCGTCTCTGAAAATAATACCAAAAAAGAAAGAAAATTCCAACCATACACATAGTTGACTGGTCTTTGCGCTAGACTTGAACTGGGCATGAAAATAGGGCCCAAAGTGTTTATAAACTCAATTCGGGCAGAAAATACATGGTTTGCGGAACTGGTTGCCAGCCAATTGCAGGGCACACATAGACAAATAACCGTTCACACACACAATAACACCTAAGGATAATTTGGAGTGGTCTATTAACCTGCCATGCATGTTTTTGGAATGTGGGAGGAAACCGGAGTACCTGGAGAAAACCCACGCAGGCACGGGCAGCACATGCAACGCCCACGATTAATTGTGTCAGCACTTACCTGTATTTTTAGTGAATTTTTTTTTTTTTTTCACTTTCACAGATATTGATACACATCTGTTACTACCTCTGTAGCTGGCTAATTGCCATAACACAATGTTTCACTTCTGGGTTTGTCCAGTTTGCAAAACATTTCCCGTCCTGTAACATCTGTAGAAAACATGTTCTCAATTTTATAAAGCTGCTTGCTTCACACAGACAAAAAATGTCTTCTTTTTTTTTCTGATGGATGATGCATTCATTCCCTTTAGTTTTCAAATGTTTTATTTTGGCACTGTGCTCTTGCTGTGCCACAGCGAGGCATGTCTGCGACTTTAAGTGAGAAAAGCTTTTCAAACAGCACTAAAGCTAACCGTAAATTCTACGAACCGAATCAAGTAATCCATCAATTCCTCTGTCTTGATAGTATAGAGAAAGTGATGCTAAT